GATATCATTATTGAATTAATTTGTTTAAAGAAGAAAATCTTACAGTGGAAGGAGGGGCAGACGGAAGGGGCAGCGAGTGCTTTGCTGGCTGCATGCCGTGTTTTAAAAGGTCAGTTGCTGTGCCGGCCAGTTGCTAGGCTGCCGTGGATTTCTGTGCTCCTTTCTCCAGCAAAAGGGATCTCGTGATGAGGTGCAAGGTTATAGTACTGCCTTTTTATTAACCTCACCCACTCCTTTCTGCTGGCTGAGCAGACCGAGTAAGGGAGATGCTCTCAGGAGCTATTATTTCCTTTCCAGAGTTTTCAAAAACAGCTGTTGAAATAACTGATAGGTTATTTATCCTGCCAAATTAAACCTAATGTATTAACTTGGGGAACAGAGTTACTGTTTAGTGAACTGTCAGGGCATGCTGGGTAACTGAGGCTTTCTTAGGGATCAGCAGAATTTGTTGCTACCTTCACCCAACTTACATCATCTTTGAACTCACGGCAAAGCACATTTACTTAATGCTTGACTGAAAATTATCTAGCAAATGTTACAAAGTGCAGAGCTCTTTCATGAGCTTTTCTTTTAACCTTGCTTTCCTTTAGCCATCTCAAGTAGCAGGAACTTTTATGCACGTCTGAGATATGTTATGATAGCAACCAGCACTGCCAGTGGGCATCAGGCCTCACAGTGCTAAAGGTGGAGCAGATATGCAATAAGAGTCTTATCCTGCACCAGAAAGGTTAAGAAAAAGATGCAACATGAGAGCAAACCAAGGTAGGGCTGAGAAGCGGAGGACGTGATTGCTCAGACAAAGTACGTGCTTTCTGCCTGTTGGACTTCATTTGCAGAGTCCACATCCATGATATGGATAATTAAAAAACAGCACCAGGGTGTAAGCAAATGAAGTTTTCTAACCTCAGAATAAAATTGCCAGGATGCCATAATAAGTGTTTATTAGACATGTGCAGCAACAAGAAAGGTAATTATTTAATTTACTATTAGTTCAGTGGCTATGACAGGTATAGTACTCCCTGAAGTGAGCGTGAAGTCAAAGAGATGAGGTTTGTACTGATCCTACTATGGGGACGTTGGGTGGCCTATTTCTATGTTGGCCAGGCATTTCTCTTAATATGGCTGTTTTCGGTTGCTGGTAATCTCATTAAATGTTTGCCGTTCATGTGTACATTGGCAGGCAAGGTTCTGTGAAAATAACAGCAAGTGATCACGTAATCAAATCTATGTTTGCTTAGCCTAATATGTCATCAAATTCTTCCCAAGTACATTAATGTACAGCTAAAATGCTAACTAGGGTCTCAGACCCTATCTGAAGCTTGCCTGGGAAGTTGGGCTAGAGACCTAGGCTGAGGTCCTGAAACCCGGCTATTGCTGTACACGCATTAAAATCAGTTAGGGCTCTGTATGTGGAGATTGTTAACTCCTCTGAAAGATTTTTGTGTGTATTTCTGCTTATTCAAGGGTTACTGTTATCCCTTCTGGCATTCC